GTAAATGAAGCCTCTCTATCTGGCTACCACTATCCCCAGACCACACTTAACAACCTTGCTCAGCACCATTCTTTAGTGTAAGTGCCTGGCTGAAATTCATCCTTCGACTCTGATTACGCATCTTGCCTTGCTGCGTGGAAGATAGGGAGGCTGTATAAACTATCCTATTGTACAAAGGTAGGATTTTCATATTGCTTTGCCCCCACCTGTCACCGACATATGGCTCCCAAAAGGTTGTCTAAAAAGCTTGTCCCCCAAATGTAAAGGATTGTGAGTTCCTGCATGTGTCTACCTAATCATCATCATCATCATCATCATCATCATATTTATACCCCTGCCCATCTGGCTGGGTTGCCCCAGCCACTCTGGGCAGTTCCCAGTACATATAAAAACATAATAAGACATCACACATTAAAAGCTACAGGGCTGCTTTCAGATGTCTTCCAAAAGTTCTATAGATCTTTATCTCCTTGACATCTGATGGAGGGCATTCCACAGGGAAGGTGCCACTGCTGAGAAGACCTTCTGCCTGGTTCCCTGTAACTTTGATCCTTGCAGGAGGACCTCGGAGCTGGACTTCAGTGTCTGGGCTGAACCCAACCAACAAAGTCACCAGAGTAGATTCTGCTCCATGACTCACCACCACCTGAAGTTCAGCTGGTGGGTGGCCAGGCCCTGGGAGGCCCAATTTTAGGAAATTGCTGAAGTTTGTAATGGATGACCCAGCAGTTGTATGATTATTTGTTCATCTGATCAGATTTCTCTTTGTTGGTGCTGAGTGGTTTATGTCTTTTCATTGTCCCTCCGCATTAAGAAGTTCAGTTAGCAGGAACTTGAGACAGAGTCTTCTCTGTGGTAGCACCTCATCTGTCAGATTCCTCCCCAAAGGATTATCCCTATCCCTGGCAGGTATTCAGACAGGTAGTTTAAAAAAACAAACCCACTTGTGGCTTTTAACAGTGTTCCTTTAGCATTCAGGCATTTTAATCCCTTGTTTTCTTTGCTTTTTGTTCATCCAAAGCATTCATATCCTGCTGTCCAGTGGGGAACCTCCCAAACTGTCTTACAAGTAAATAAAAATAACAGATACCCTAATCTAAAAAGTCCACAACACAAAAGGAAGATTGTATGGATTGGGAGAAGAGAATAATAAGAATAAGAATACCTTTATTGTCATTGTACAACCTGTGTACAATGAAATTAAATGAGCCTCCCCCCCCAACAATCTCTTATCAAATAACACACCAGCTCGCAAGTCAATTTTGCTAACAGCCCACGGATAGAAGCTATTTTTTAGCCTGTTGGTACAACTGATTATACCTCTATATCTCCTGCCCAAGAGTAGAAGATTAAAGAGGTGATGGCCAGGGTGTGAGACATCCCTGAAAAATTTTCTCACTCTCCTAAGGCAACGATCCCTTGCGATGTCATCTAGCGGTCTCAAGGGACAGCCCACGATATCATGTGCTGTATTCACCACCCTCTGTCCGTGGCTGTCAGGCCAGCATACCACACTGTGATACAATATGAAAGGACACTTTCTATTGTGGACCAGTAAAAGGAGTTCATCAGTTGTTGTTTAACATTATTCTTTCGCAGGACCCTGACGAAATGGAGTCTCTGTTGGGCCTTTCTGACCACCTGAGTTATGTTGATTTTCCAAGGGAGGTCCTCACTAAGGTAAACTCCCAAGAATTTAAAGGAGGAGACTCTCTCCACACAGCCCCCCCCCCCCCGATATACAACAGGGCAGGTTCCCCTCTCTTCCTCCGGAAGTCCAACACCATCTCATTTGTCTTACTAATATTTAGGTGCAAGTTATTCTCTAAGAACCATGTAGATACTTTTTGAACCTCCCCCCTGTAACATGCATGCTTGGAAACCACGTTCTTAACACTGCATAGTTCTTGAAATGACAGCTTTGGATAGTAACAGGCTACTCACAGTTCAAAAGATAGGCCTTGGCAGGTGATGATGATGATGATGATAAACCATGCTATACACATAGATCTCAGAGCAGTCCACAATAACTTAAGATTCTATTGGCAGAAATGGGAACCTTAAACAGAGGGGGTAAATGCCACCTTCCAAACTTCTCTGTCTTTTGGGACCTACCCAGGACACCTTCCCTCCTGAGCCATACCTCTCACCTCCTTGCTTTGCACTTTCCTGGAAAACCAGCAGGAGCTGTGGTTGAGTGGGGGGGCTGGCTTGGGGAGAGTCCTGAGGGCCAAATGGAGAGACTTTCAAGGGACACATTTTCCCACCAGGCCTGCGGCTCCCCACCCCTGCCCTAAAAAGGAAGAACAGCCATCTTTCTGTGAAACCTGGTGCTGGAATTGCAGAAATGCCACTTTTTCCAGTAGGGCCCATTAATCAAGAACCCAATCACGACCTGCAATTAACGCTTCAGTTGATTAATCCACATTGATCCCTCAGTGGACACCATCAGCCCCATTCCTTTCCACACATCTCGGATGGGGATGCGCTGGATACTGGGTCTCCTGTGAAGCTTATCTGAAGTTCCTCAATAAAAATATCAGTCTTGGAGAAGAACACGTTATCTGAAAGACAGCTTGCCCACAGCTAAATGATGCTTGCCATTAAACAATCTGTGCCATTTAGCATTAGATTAAAGGGGCTGCAGCAAGTTGGTTGGAGCTCTGGGCTCGATGGCACCTGGTTCTATATTTCTTTAACTATGCAATCAAAAGCAACTGTACCTGTTCTGAATCATGGTTTGCAAGAAGCAGAAGCTGAATCCTGACAATGTGATATTGGTGCTAAGTGAGAAGCTTTGGGGTATCATAATATACTTGTTATTTATCATGTATACCAGCTTGTGATGGCCTGGGACTCGGGCTCAGATTTGGAATCAGAGGCGTCTCAGTCCGCACCGGATCCTTTGCCTCAGGCGGCATCTGAACCTAGTCTGGGGTCTGATTCTGAAGAGACCCAGTCTGCACAGGTTCCCCTGCAACAAGCACCAGCTGGGCCGAGTCAGGGGCCTGAGCCTGCCCTGGCTCCAGATGCGGGGATTACCTCGTTGCCTTCAGCTGGGCCATCACTTACAGCTGCTCCACTACCGGCTGGGTCAGGGGAGGCTGAGGCAGCCCCTGGGTCTAGCAACCCACCAACATCTCCCGAGCTGCAGAGACTCGGGTCTGAGAGAAGGAGAGACCTGAGTACTCGCAGGAGGAGTGCTCGCCTCTGGACGAAACAGGGAGGTGAGTCACCGGAGGATCAGAACCAGCCGTTACCCCAACAGAGCTAAAAGGCTGTCAGACCCCGCCCCAGGTTGCGGGAGCAATGTTGCTGTTTGCTAGAACTTGCCTGAGACACTGTGCCTGACCCTGCCTGATTTCTTGCCTTGGCCCTGTCCGACTGACTCCTCACAGAACCCTTGGATTCAGGACCGGACCTGGACCGCATTGCTCAGGTTACCCCCGGGCCCAGCTCACAGCTTTTCCTAACCTAATAAACCCCCTCCAGGTGATGTTGGACAGATAACGAGCACTCACACTTTATAGGTGGGTGCCCTTTGCAGGATTGCACATGGGGCTACAGTTCCCAGGGAACTTACTAGAAATAGGGGGTTGGCTTGCTTCTCTGTGTTATTATTCAGAGGTACAAGCCCAGCGTCAGTAATCAAGTTTCTTGCTAGGAGGTGGGGCCAGCCCCAGTATAAATAGGGGGTGGAGCTGACAAGAACCAGGCAGTCGGCTCTGGAGATTCACCCTCCCTACCCTCCCTTTGTTTAATGTTTTCTTGTTTTCAGGTTAACTTTTTCTTCCTGTTTCGCGGGTGCTGCTATGGTCTATGGCTGGTTGCTGTTGAAGGACCGGGAAGGAATTTTCCTGCATTGGCAGGTTTTGTCTTCCCCGTAGCAATTCATCACAACTTTGGCGCTTATGGCCTTGGGTGGAATCCTTTAGTCTTTTCTTCCCTATAATGGGGGAGTAGGTTTGAAGTGGTGACTCACCCCCCTGCGGTGGGGATTCCAGGGTCCCCCTCTTAAAGGGGTTATATTTATGAGTGTCACTGGCCATACACTGAAAGGTCGTCAGTGAACTACCCTGCGTGCAGGGATATGGGCTTGGCTGCCTGCTACACTTACGTCTCACAGAGCACCCCCATATCCCATTTACCCTGATGAGCCCCAGTTCCCCTGGCTGGGTGGCTGGGGGGGATACACGCCCAAGGCCTAAGCCAAGGTCTTCTTACATCCAGAAATTTAAATAAAGTTGTGGCCTAATTTTAATTCCATAACATTGTCAGAGTCTTTAATCCACTCCACTTACCTGTGGGGAGGAGTTGCGGTGGACCATGTGGCCACCAGCTCACCTCCAGGGAGAGGGGACAACATCCCCCGTTGCCTGGGGGATCCTGGCCACATCAACGCCAGCCGGCCAATCCAGCAGCTGGGGGGCATGGCCAGGAACAATTTAAACAGTGGCATGAGCCAGAGGACTTCCTCTTGGCTCGCTGCTTTATTCCTTTCTTGTGATCCCTGGGGGCTGGGGCTGTCGTGCCTGGTCATGCAAAATGAAGAACTTCTTCAAACAGCTCAATGGTGAGTTCCAACTATGGAACTCATTGCCCCAGGAGGCAGTGATGACCACCAACCTAGATGGCTTTAAATGAGGATTAGACAAATTCATGGAGGAGATGCTTACCGATGGCTACTAGCAAGGATGGCTATGCAATGCTTCTGAATACCAGTTGCTGGAAACTACAAGAGGGAATAGGGTTTTGTGTTTGAATCCTGCTTATACAATTCCCATAGACATCTGGCTGGCCATTGTGAGAACAGGATGCAGGATACGATGCGTTGATGTGACTATAGCTTCCATCATCCCTGTGTTAGGTTTCTGTTTGTGCTACTGTGCAGTGCTTGGAGTCACAAGACTCTGTTTACATTCCAGAGATTCCAGACTGTTGGAAGTCTCACTGGAGACGGATGTTGATATTACTGGTTTCCTGTTTCTTTGTATCCAGTTGCCTCTCTGCTTTCACAGAGAGAGGATGTATATTTCTTTTCTGTCTGCGTAGTTAGAAATAAAACTCTTAGCAATGTAGCTCATATTTCTCGTCCTCTTCTGCTGCTTGGACACTCTGCGTAATGAGGGAACGTGCCTGGAGCCTCATCAAAGGCTCAGGTCGTTAATCACCGTCGGAGGACTTGACCGGAGGAGCAGCTCGGCCGAACGCAAGTTCCTACACCCTGATCACTGGCCTCCATGACTGGGACTGATGGGAATAAGAGTCCAGCAAAGTAAGGAGGACCACAAGTTCCCGAACTTACATGATTTACATCTGATACAGCTCTTTGTGTATAGCCCAGAATCACTCAACAGGTTCACATCCCTTTGTAATTTCAAGGATTGACTTATGTGCTGCTCTCTGGGTAGGGCTGCCCTTGGAGATGTTTGGAAGCTGTAAGCGAGTAGAGAATATCAGGGGAGCACATTTAACGGCTCTGTGGCAACCGCACAGACAGAATGGGGACTATGCTAGGTTTTTGGTGATGTTGCAGTTCTGCCTTTTCCACGTTCACAGTTTTGAGACTTTACTTTGACTTGATGGATGGTGCAAAAACATTTTCAATCAGCATCATGAGTTGCCACAAGTGCAAAGGTGAGATCAGTTTCATTCCCGTCAATCAATGCTGATCTTCCGTTGCAATGTGCAGCCCCGTGGGGATGTGGGCTGAGTTCGATGGCACACTCTCTGTCTATGCAGGGAAATGGTGAGACAGATCCTCCTATTTGTTACATTTAAAAAATGCAACCTGTTTACCAAACAGTTATCATCTTGGCAGTGGCGGACATGGGTACTATGGCACCCTGTGCAAGGCCAACATTTGGTGCCCCCTCATTCCTTGCCCAAATGAGGCACTTGGCTTTGGGAAGGAGGAGGGAAGACTCTGGCAGGGTCCTTTTGTCCTCCTACCTCCTTCCTGCAGCTGGGAAAGCACTAACTAGGTTTGGAAAGGAGAAGGGAGAACTCTAGGACCCTGTCAGAGCCTCATGCTTCCTCCCCAAAGTCCAGTGCCTTGCTTATCGGGCTTTGAGATGGCGTCCCTTCAGGCCAGTGCCCAGCGAGTGAGCACCATTCACATGGCAATAAATCTGCCCTTGGTCTCAGTTCTTCTTCAGCGTGTTACCAAAGCGTCCTTGGAAAGAGAGGATACAGGCATTGTCCAGTTATTTTGTGAAGTATTCTGGAGTAGAGGGGGGAAAGAATTTATTTGAAATATTGGAACAGTCTCCCTCGGGAGGTTGTGGGTTCTCCTTTCTTGGAATTTTCTAAGCAGAGGTTGGATGGCCATCTGCCATGGATGCTTTAGCAGAGATTCTTGCATTGTAGGGGGTTGGACTAGATGACCCTTGGGGTCTATGATTCTATGAAACAGGAGGGTTGAAAGAACAGGGCCAAAACAAGAGCAACACACCCTTCTGCTTTCATTTTTGCTTGGCAGAGAGGATGACTTAACATTTGTCACATCAACGGCAGAGGAAGGAACGCCGAGAAAATAAGAGGCATAAATGTGTGATTTCCTCACACGTTTCGTGAAGAGTCACCAATAGCCTGAGAAGATGGTCCTGCATATAGACAAGGTGCCGGCTGTTTCCTTTACTTTGAGCTACTTAACAGTGCCACCTGGTGCCTAAAGACCTAGCAGATGTGGAAATTTCACCCACCCAAAAATGCCGCTCTCTTGCAATCAGAGAGATAGCAAATGACAAGAGTTAGACACACAGCACAGACGTTCTTATTGGCACTTCCAACCTAAATTTAAACACTTTCACCACTCTCGTTTTCAGTGCAGAGGACAGAGTGCTCTCACCATGGAGATAAAAAATACAGAGAAAAGCAGTGGGAGTCATGAACAATATAAGAAATAGCCTATGTTATTAACAAAAATAGCAAGACAATATGTAGTAATAAAACATGCCAACCCAACAAGGAATTCTTCATTTCTAAACTGGTTTGGACACAGGAATGAAATGAGATATAACCCAGAGATCTCATCAACAACTCCACAATAGTCTCCTCTTCATAGGAGAATTTGGTATTTTCATTTCAATCTATTTTATACACCTTTTGGGCACCAGGCAAAAACATTTCTCTTTAACCGGCCTTTGGCTGATTGACATCCAATGCCCCTTTAAAATGTGTTGTGTTGGCTTGTTCTTTTTTTTTTTATTTTGGTCATGTATTTTGTGTTTTTATATTCCCTGGGGTGGAGAGGGGCACTGTTTTGTGGTTTACCTCAGGTGCCAAAATGTATTGGGACTTCCCAGCATGATGTCATGGGTCCCATGATGCCAAGAATGATGGGGCAGAGTTGGCAATCTGGGGTGGAGGAAGGCGACAGCCCAAGCATGACTTGGATAGGGGCCCTGCCTTGCTATTGCCAGTTATCCCAAAAGGGGAGGAGGAAGAGGTCACCAAGGCCATCCTGCCTTCTGAGAGTGATGTTCTCACAATGACAGGGGAGTTGGCTGGTCAATCAGCAGACCGAGGATAGGAGCTGGAGGAAGTGTCATAGGCTCATAGAATTATAGAGTTGGAACGTACCACAAGATTCATCTAGTCCAGAGGTTCTCAACTTGTGGGTCCCCAGATGTTGTTGGACTACAACTCCCATCATCCCTGAGCTCTAGCCTTGCTAGCTAGGGGTGATGGGAATTGTAGTTCAACAACATCTAGGGACCCACAGGTTGAGAAAGGCTGATTCTAGTCCAACCCCCTGTATTGCAGGAATCTCATCTAGATCATGACAGATGGCTAGCCAACCTCTGCTTAAAGACCTTCAGTGAAGGAGAGTCCACCACCTTCCAAAGGAGTCCATTCCACTGTCAGACAGCTCTTAAAGTCACAAAGTTCTTCCTGATGTTTACCTGGAATCTCCTTTCTTGGAAGTTGAATCCACTGGTACAGGTCCTTGCCCCCAGAGTAGGGTTGGACTCAACTTCTCTCACCAAGGAAGTACCACTGTCCTCTCTCCAAATGAATGCATTAGAGTTATGAGACCTGAGCTTGAAACTACACGTTTCAAGGGACCAAAAGATCCAGTTTTGCAGAACTCACCAGCAGTTCTATACCAATCCAAACACAACAGTCTGCCCATTAGGCAATGCTGTCTCTGAAACCGTCTCTGTGACCTGTAACAGCTGGGGCAGCATAAGCTTGCTATTGTGCAAGTTGCAAAAATCCATAGCAATTCTGAGCTGTGCCTAATCATAACCCAATCTCATGTTCATGTTGTAAGATTCATGAGCTAACAGCTTCCAGATATACAGCCGAGTATTTGGAAAAGAATAATTTATACAATTTCTGCCTAGAAGGTTTTACAGCCAGGCTAATCCTCTATTACAGACAAGCTAACCGAGATCATTCATGATTCATACCTGTGGCTTTGTTGTAGTTAACAATAAACAGGTGGATGTCATGTTCGGCTTTAAAAAAGAGGGAAAGAAATCAATGTTTTTGGAACTGAAAGGGAATGCACATGAGGCTGGTGGCAATTTAAAATGTGCAAGGAAAAGTTATTTTCAGTGTGTTTTCCAAAAGTTTATTCAAGGCATTCATTTTGCTCTCTAGGAAAAAGAATAAGATGGTCCCTCCAGCGGCCAGAATCCAGTTGGACCTACAACTAAATTTTACATCCATATTAGCAATGGGATAATGTCCTCTGCCTTGGGAGGAGCAAACCTGTCAATTTTTGTCTCTTTCATTTTCTCACCCTTCAGTTCAGTGCTCCATATTTTGATATCAGTTTGCATTCTTTTGAAGAAAAAAATTCACCAGGAAAATTCACCAGCATTTTACTCTGAATCTCTCGGAATATATACTTTTAAAAAAATGTTTATCCCATTACTACCCCAAACAAACTTGAGGGCAGCATAGTAGTTATGAGGATGCAAGACAGGCTGTAAGGCACTCACAGCTTTATCCTCCAAGAGATGATGATGACTGGTCAGAGGGAAAAGTGGGAGGAGGAGGTGTCAGAAACTGAAGAGGTAACAAGGCTTAGTGAGCAGGGAGAGTCTGTGGCAGAGAGTCTAGAGACAGAGGCAGAAGAGGAAGCAGAGGAGGAGAGAGACCAGGAGCCAGAGATCAGCCTGGCTGGGGAAGAGGCATGTGTGTCTCCCCATCCTGCTGTGACAAGCTCCCCTCCCTGCTGGTCTCCCAGGACCAGGAGAAGCATGAAGAGGGCAGAGGAAAAATTAGCATCATGCAGGTGCCGTCTCAGGGTTGCTTGGGGAAAACCCTGGGGAGGAAGAGACCTTCAGTCTCAGCAGGACCTGCTGGAGATGAGTTGCTATACCCATTAGGCATGACACTCCTGTGCAGATCCTGTTTTTGCTAATAAAAAGTTAACACCAACTTGCTCAGCATATAATTTACTGTTTTCTACCTGCTGACTACCTGCCCTCGTTTCACCCTGACTCCACCCTCCACTGACATGCAGAGGTTGTATTTGAGGGAATGTGGCCTTTGAGCTGAAAACTGTTCCCCACCCAGGGGATATTTATAAAGATACAAATTGTACAGGCAATGCCTGTTTTTATTCCTTCTCCCATTGCTCAGCTAAACTTAGGATATGTGTATAGAAGCCAGACGCCCTCGGATTTTGGGGTATTCTCCCATCCATTTTCATTTTCTTCGCAGCCCAGCTGTGGCATGTTTCTACAACTCCCAAATTCCCACTATTTCTACAAAATAATGCTTTGCTGGCCATGCCTTTATAGAAATATATTTGGCACCCAGGAAGTCCAGAGTGGATCATGGTTCCCTAACATTTCTATTGAATCTGTAACAGATGCACTGTCGTTATTATTATTTTTCCTTTCAAGAGAGAGGTGGAAGGTCTGCGCTGCTAATTTTCTCCCTTGGGCAATGATAGCTGCTACAGTTATTACGACCCTGTTCAAAGTATAGAACAGCATTTTTAAACAATTAAATGAACCTCCTTCTTTTTTTAACTAGAAATACAATTTTTTTCAAAGGACAGAGATTGAAGTAAGAGATAATTGTGAATCAATATGTTTCTTTGCCTGCAGTTGTAGGTTCTAATTCATCCATGCAGCATTTATTTTTACTGAATCCACACTAGAAAGCACAATATAATTATTGCCCAATAACAGCATGAATCATTCTCAAGCAATGAAGCGGGGCGACGGCAACGCACATTCCTCAAGTCTTCTGCTATGGTCTATGGACTTACTCAATAAATGCTCTTCTATTCCATTCCTCAAGTCAAGAATTCATAAGCTGCCCCTTCTCCTTCAACACTGACATGCAGGATTGAGAGACCACCATCACAAAGCAAGGACATCAGTTATGCAGTGGCCCCTGCAAGGTGTCTCATGAAACAAAGTGGTCCTCAAGCTGGAAAGCTTGGTTCCTCAACACTTGCTATATACTATAGAGAAGTCTTTAGCTGATGGAATGAAATGGAACCCAGACCAGCCGCTCTCTAGATGGGGAGCTGTAATGCCCAGGTGTGAGAAGGCCCTCCCCTCAGCCTTGTTAAATGGATTCACAAATTTTGATGGGACATGGGAAGGTTCTGTATTAATAAACCCATTCATACGGGGGGGGGGGTGTTCAGGTAACCACTGAGGGCTTGAAAAGTTATCACAAGCACATAGAAGATGGAGCAAGCTTGTTTTCTCCTGCTCTGAAGGGTAGGACTTGAACCAATGGTTTCAAGTTACAAGAAGGAGATTCTAACTAAACCCCTAAAACCCAGGAAGAACTTTATGACACTGGAACAGTCTTCATCGGGAGGTTGTGGACTCTCCTTCCTTGGTGGTTTTTAAGAAGAGGTTGGGTGTGTTGGGGTTCATAGTCTACGTGCAGCTTGGCAAGTGAGCAATTAGTGTTTTGTCTACAGGCTAGGGAGACAGAGCACGGGAGAAATTTGCCTGGAGATAAGAGGACCTAGTAACAGCTTGGTGAATGGCTGAGGTCTCTCATGACCTATGGCATTGTTTGGCTAGTTAGGAGTTTTTTGGAGTGCTTGGAGAGTGTTGAAGTTCGTGTCTGTATATAGTAACTTGTAAATAGCTGGTGAGTTTACTGCCGTATATAATAAACTACAAAATCAGGTTACTAGTCGTCAGCTTTGTTCCTGATCGTTGTCCTGACTGAGCAGTCTCGATTGTTGCCTAGGAAAAGCTGCACTACTCTGCTAAGTTGTGCATCATTGAAAAAGTTCAGAGGTGAAGAGACTGGTCCTAGTAGCATGCGAGAGGATTTCAGAAAGTGTTCACAGGCTTCAGAGTTTTAACAGGGTGTCCATCTGTCATGGATGCTTTAGTCAAGATTCCTGTATTGCAGAGGGCTGGGTTAGATGGCACTTTGGGTCGTTTCCAGCTCTATGATTTTATGTTTAAAAGTTTTGATTAAAAGCCAGTGTAACTGCCATGTGTCCCTGATATCCAACTTCAATTAGGACACTCTTGATCTGTTGAAGTTTCTAAACATTTTTCAAAGGTTCTACAGTGCACTACATTAATTCAAACAAGATCAACCAATGCATTTGTCACCAGGTCAAGAATGGAGGGAATTCCCCAACAACTTTGAGTTCCAAAACACACACACAGAGAGAGAGAGAGAGAGAGAGAGAGAGAGAGAGAGAGAGAGAGAGAAGGCCTAGATATGGTATTGTATGTCATTTGTAATTGGCTAGTGTGATTTGTCTAGAATCCTGAATTATAGTCTGTAGTAAAATCAGGTGCAACAGTCCTTTCACCGACGCCATTTTATTCCACATGCACATGGAGTTACAGTGTATGTAGCACCTGGAAACCACATAACCCATGCTGCACTGTGACTGACAGCACTGAACAGGTACACAAGGATGTCAACCAAGAACAGTACAATCCCAAAATCAGCATGCCAGCACAAAAGACAGCATTTGAATGGATGGTCAGGGGAAATATATGGTCTGCCATTTTATAAATAAGGAATAACATGAAATAAGTGGAGCATTTACCATCTAGTCTAGGAACCTGTAACTTCTACCTGAAGTGTAATAACTGAACATAAGCAACTGAAGTTTTAACAGAAGCTGTGCTTGATTAGAAGCCTGAAACATCCATTAGATTTAGTATAATTATTAATAGGTTTGCTGTTTCCTGAATGACCATTATCTCCTGATGTAACCTTTGTTTCTAGTTTCTACCAACCTTTATTGGCATAAGTTGAAATAGTAGAATCATAAAACCATACAAAGCTATCCTTTGTTCTATCCACTTCATTCTGTAAAATAAATGTTTCTTATTTGTTCAAAAATAATAATAAGGAGTAATTCTCAAGGAGGGTGAGAATTAGAACATGAGAACAAAAGAAGAGCTTTCTGGATCTGACCAATGGCGCCTCTAATCCAGCTTCATGTTCTCACATGCGGCCAATCAGATACTTGCTAGCTGGATGTAAGTGCTACTGTGCTCTGTCCATTTGTGTATTCGAGTAACTGATATTCAGAGTCAGTTACTGACAGTTTAGCTGAGTGTTAAGCCTGTTAGAATTCCTGCTCCATGACTGCAGTCATGGGATTTTTGTCTATCACATGACGGTATATGTTTTGACTCCACATAGTGGGAAGTGACTGAGACAGGATGTTTGTGTTACTGTGTTCCATGAAGTGGGACTATTGTCCTTTGTTCTTTTTCTCTTTGCTGTCTGATGCTAGAGAGAGAGGGAGCCATGTTGCAGTGCTCAGTGTGTGTTTATATGTAAATAAAGTAGATTAGCCGAAATGCTGAGTTGCTGAGGTCTGTCACGCAAGTTGTGCAAACTCTGCAGATTCCTAAGTGTGCCGGTGTCGGTTGGCATCAGTCACTGTGATGTTCGGGCTGAAGAAAGTTTTTGAAGCTCCTGGACGAAAGACCAGAAGGGAGAGAACATGTGAGTCGGGCATGTGTCTCTGCCAGGGTCCTACTCAAGAGTAGGACAAGCTCCTGACAGAGCCCACCCGCCTCCGGCATGTAACTGTGTCATTTTTTAATCAAAGCAACTCATTCAATGCTAAATTTCCAAGGATAATATTTTCAAACAAAGTTGATTTTTGCAATATGTTCTATAATTTATTCTGAGAACTCTACGATAGTCCCATGGTTTCAGATTCTTTCTTTTCTTTCTTTCTTTCTTTCTTTCTTTCTTTCTTTCTTTCTTTCTTTCTTTCTTTCTTATACAGTTGAATCAGGGTCCCTTGACAATAACTGCTCTTCTGAAATGTGCACTTGGGGGATATGTAGTGTGATCCTGTGCCTGCGGCTTTCTAACATTTCACTCCCCATCTGACAAAAAACCAATAACCCGTTTTCTTTTTATTAGCCACCTCGCCAAACAATACAAGAGATGATCTAATCTGCACTGTTTGTCCTGCTTAGCTTAATACAACTGCAGGAGAGTGTTGAAAAATGGCAGAAGCAGAGCCCTGCAAAACTATCGAATGCAGTAACAATGACGTATCGATTCCATGAGCTGTTGATTTAAAGCAGAGTCTGTCGTGGCCAGCGGAAGGATGAGGATACGTGCTGCATACTCTGTATTGCTTTATTTACAGTTCAAAGCTGGTATATTACAGAAAGACATCTTGCCTCTGTGCCGGAGCAGAAAATGCATCCTCTCTCCTCGACAGCTTGGAGAGAATCACACAGTGAAAAACAGGAAACCAGTGTACGTCACATCCAGTCTCCCTTCCCGTGAGAAACTCCAACAGTACAGACTGTGGAATGTAAACACCTGTCTTGTGACTAGCAGATGCTGCACAGTGAAGGAAATAGAAACCAACATCCTCCCCTTTCTGTGAACATCACTGGGCAGCGTGTTCGTACAATATCAGTACAAACCCAACTTCTGCACATAGGTACAGTGTTGATCCCTTGATACAATCTTGGACAATACATCAGCAGGAATTTCATTACCTGGCATATAGGACACCGTTACGAGTCCCTTCTGAATACATTCCCTAGCATGCTGCAACTTTAATTGTAAGTGCTTTGTGCTTTGCTTACAACCTTCAGACTTCAGCAAAGCCAAACATGCTTTGTTGTCCTGGTAAACCTGGATTGGACATTTGACAGGAATTTTCATATCTTTGCACAATTGTACTAACCATTCACAATCCTTAAGTGAATAAGACAGTGCATTCAGTTCAGCTTCACAAGTACTTAAGCTAACTGTTGTTTGCTTCTTGCATGACCAATCAAACAGACTCTGATTGTACATGTAGCAAACTCCAGACGTACTTTTCCTGTCTGTAGCGTCACTTCCAAAACTTGCATCTGCAAATATCTCAAGACCACCAGACTTCTGATTGTTAAATCTCAGTCTGTAATGCATAGTGCCTTTCAAATACCGCGCTATGCGTTTCAGAGCTTTCCAATCCTTGACACTAGGATTGTTGACTTGTCTGCTTAGCAAATTACAGCTAACAGCAATGTCTGGTCTTGAACATCTGGCAATGAAGTTTAGCTTGCCTAGCACACTCCTGTACAGTGTAGTGTCAGAAAATGCTTCTTCAGTGTCATCTACCTGATAACCTGTTGTCATCGGTGTGTCTACAGGGTTAGCATCCATCAGATTTAGTTTGCTTAACACATCAGCAATTTTCCGTGACTGGTGTACTAGAATGTTACCATCTTGATCTCTCTCTATTTCCAGAGATAGGTAGTTGTTTACCTCACCAAGATCTTTCATGTCAAAGTGCTCTTTCAGTTGAGCTAGGGCGCTATTGTACATTGCAACATCTTTCCAAAAGAATAATAAATCATCAACATAAAACAAACAGTACAGTTTCTTTTGCCCCTCCTCTTTGACAAATACACATGGATCAGCTTTCCCTTGCTGAAAACCTAGAGAAAACAATACTTCAGTGAGTTTTGTGTGCCAACACCGTGCACTTTGTTTGAGACCATAAAGGGATTTCTTCAGAGCACAAACAAATCCCTGTTTTACCTGTACGCCATCAGGTGGAAGCATATAAAGTGATTCATCTAGAGATCCGTACAGAAAAGCTGTATTAATATCATGGTGACTAATGTGTAGATTTTCCTCTGCAGCTAGCTTGAGCATAAGCCTAATGCTTTCATATCTCACTGTGGGTGAATAGGTCTCGTGATAGTCTTCACCTGGTACCTGTGCAAAACCTCTGGCTACCAATCTGGCTTTGTGTCTGACTATCTTGCCATTTTGATCTGTCTTCGCTTTGAAGACCCATTTGCTTCCAAGCAGTTTCATTCCTGGAACTACTGGAACTAGCTCCCATGTTTTGTTCCTTTCTAAGGAATCAAGCTCAGCCTTCATGGCATTTAACCATGGCTCAGCTTCCTTTGAATCCAAACCCTGGATTTCTTGGAAACTTGAAGGTTCAAATACCTTCTTGGAGCTTTTAACAGCTGTTACTGCTATCTTAGCAAACTCATCAGCAAATCTCTTTGGAGGTTTGCCTTTTGTAGCTCTCTGTGACCTACGAATTAGCCTTAAGTCTTCAACACTCTCCTCTTCCTTCTTAGGAGAAAAACGACCTATTGTGAACAATGGTTCCTCCAATTCTTGATCAGAGCTTTCAGAGGGTCGCATAGAGGCTTTCGCACTCTTGAAATCCTCTGAATCACCCGATTCAGTTTCAGATTCAGACTCAGAACCTTCATCAGTGGGTGTGGGTTGTTGTGGTTGCTTTTGACTATCCTCAGTCTCATCACCGTCATCAGGATAACATTGGAAAATTCCCACATTCTCCCCCACTTTGCATTGTACTCAACACTTCTCGTGAGCTTAATTGTCTTAGAGTCAGTCATCATTATTCTGTAAGACCCTTTCTGATAACCTAGAAAGATACCATGCAATCCACGCTTGTCTAACTTGGAGTTTTGTGGTGAGCGAACCCACATGTCAGAACCAAAAATCTTCATGTGTTTGATGTATGGCTTCTTGCCAAACATCTTCTCATAGGGGGTACAACCAATCGCTGAAGATAATCTGCGATTGTAACTGTAAACAAAACACGAGAGAGATTCGGCCCAATAACTCTCTGGAAGATTGGCATCATGCAGCAAGGTCTTTAACCCTTGAAGCAATGTCTGATTTGCCCGTTCCGCAAGTCCATTCTGCCATGGCGAGCGAGGACTAGACAAATCGTGTTGAATTCCTTTCTCAGTCAGAAAAGCTTCAAACTGCTGAGAAGTGAATTCCCCGCGATCACTGAAAAGAGTCTTTATCTTCTTACCATGCACATTTTCCAACCAAGCACAGAATTCCTTGAACCTAGGAAAAGCCTCCGATTTCTGCTTGAGATTGTACACAAAAATATATCTAGAAAATGCATCAATGAGAACCATGAAGTATCTATTTCCACCCAAAGAGGGCGATAGTGGTCCAACCAAATCAGCATGAACAACCTGGTATGGTTCTGTAGCTTTCCTACTAGACACCTTACCTTCCGCAGCCATTTTCACTTTGTTTGCTGCGCATGCTTTGCACTTCATGTGGTACCTGCAGGGTTTAATAGTCATACCTTCAACCAAGGCAGGCATTTTAGATACTGCCTCAAAATGCAAATGACCAAATTTGCGATGAAAATCGTGAATACATTCTGCATGCAAACTTTTGTTAGAACCTGCAATGCAACAAGTGTCATCCTGCACCACATCATCATAATACAAAACAAACAAATGATCAACATATTCTGCATGCAATACATAATCATTTTTCTTTGTGATGATGCACTTCTTGTTCTTGAAGGAAACGTCAATGTTCCGCTCATTCAGCTGTCCAACGCTGAGCAGATTATGTTTGGCGTCTGGCACGTAAAGCACATTCTGTATCGATAAGTCCAAACTGTGAAGAACAACAGTTCCGTAGCCTTTACTGGGAATAGTGTGGTCATCCGCCTGGTGAATCGCACCTTCCTGCGGTGTAAAAGACACAAACAGTTTCTTATCGTTGCACATGTGGTGGGTGGCCGCTGAATCAACAACGAAGAAAGATCTAGACGTCTTCTGGACCTCTGCAACCTTTGGAGTGAAGCGTGAAACCATAGCCTTGTGCTGCGTTGTCCTAGACACCGGACCTTTGCCTTTGCCTCGGCCTTTTCCGCGCGATGAGCTTCGCTGCGCTGCTCTGTCTTGGCCCTGGGATGTCTGCATTCCCTCTTCATATGGCCTAGACGTCCACACGAGTAGCATTTCACTGCCTTCAAAGCTTTGGCGCCATCTGGTGGTTCCACTGCACTATGGGATGACGTCTGTGAAGACTCTCCTTGCCCATGCAGCTAGCACCCCGGCGATCTGCTTCATTTAAAATCACGGCAGTAACAAAGTCCACTGTCAGCTGAGCAGTTGGTTGCACAGCAATCTGGGTTGCAACAGACTCCCAACCTGAACCCAAAGATTGTAGTATCATGAAAGAATACACAGCCTCTGGAAAGTGGAGTCCTCTCTGTTGCAGCTCATGTCTCAGATTTTGCATCTGCATCAGATGTAAACGCACATCTCCACCTTCAGCAAGAGCCATATTATGCAGCTTGTTAAAATAAAACATAGTGGATCCAGCTTCTGTCCTTAAGTGAGCCTCTCTCAGAGCGTCCCAAATTTCTCTGGCTGAGGTCTTATCACGCAATAGACAGAGCTCTTCTGGGGATACTATCAATGTAAGAGTTCCCTTGCTTTGGAAGCCTCAGCGTCCCATGCATCTGTAACAGGAACTGGGGGGGTTCCTGTAATCACCTCAAACAAACCCTCTTTCCGCAGAATTGCCTCTGCATACTGAACCCAGTCGCTGTAATTTTTCTTGTTGAGCTTAGGAATCCCACAAGCATCCTGAAGGGCCATCATGACTCTGGCATTAGCCTTCAGCGTCATATCTATGCTGCTTTAAATCTTGCTGCGTCACTGCTGCAGCTGCCTTATTACAAAGGCACACTTAAAAGTTACTTTCGATTTCCCCAGCATAGTGACTTGTGCCTGGGAGCCTTTTGCCTATTCCCGGCAAAACCGGCTTTAAAAGTTCAAAGTCCAGCCATAAAGCCATTATCTTGAAGCTGGCAGGCTGCCCGGAGCAGTAGCACATACCTCATCAATCACTTCTACGCGCAGAGCAGATTCCTTTCCGATCCGTCCCTCTGCATTCCGATCCTCTGCCGGCACTCCGATTCGACCTCCTGGAGTCCATAACCACGTGTTGATTTAAAGCAGAGTCTGTCGTGGCCAGCGGAAGGATGAGGATACGTGCTGCATACTCTGTATTGCTTTATTTACAGTTCAAAGCTGGTATATTACAGAAAGACATCTTGCCTCTGTGCCGGAGCAGAAAAATGCATCCTCTCTCCTCGACAGCTTGGAGAGAAACACAGTGAAAAACAGGAAACCAGTGTACGTCACATCCAGTCTCCCTTTCCCGTGAGAAACTCCAACAGTACAGGCTGTGGAATGTAAACACCTGTCTTGCGACAAGCAGAGCTGCACAGTGAAGGAAATAGAAACCAACAGGGTAAACTGGGTAGGAGTCAATACCTTCTCCCAAGACCTACTGAACAAGGAAGAATGAAAAGGGAGAAGGTTTGAGAAACAAGATTAAGTTGTAATCATTGCCATACATTCTGTAATGGGAAACCCAGCCGCTGTTTTGCATGGGTCCCTTCCACCAAAGTTGTCCAGGTTGGCATTAAACAATATGAGATTAAAGACTTGTCAGACAAACTAATGAGTTTTGGATTGATTTCTGTCTTCAGCCGTGTTACCAGCATTTCTGACAGCTATGATTTATAGGGTATTCTTTAGGTCTCTTCATGAGAGGAGCTGTTTATTTTACTTGATGGACAAGGTATCTAACGTTTTCTAGTGGAGTGTGCAGATGGCAGGAAGGACAGTAATTGCTGAGGTCATCTCTCAACATCATGGCATGTGCACCCCCTATAAATTAGTCATTGAAATCTCAGGCAATGAATGCCAGCATCCTCCCTCCATATTTTATTTTATTTTATGCTTTGCAACCTTTGGTCACTGAAGTTCTCTCTGGGGAAGAAAGCATGTCTAGTACTTCCTTTGTTTAATAAATGAAGTTGGTATAGACAATATTCAAACGTCCAGTGTGAATCCTTCCATCTCAGAGATGTTTTCGGAACAGTGCAAATTTAGGATCAGCAAAAGAAATGAGACCTGAGGCTTAAGAAGAGGGGTAGTCAACAGAATGTTCTCCAGAGGTTTTTGGATCAATTTCCATAAACCCCAGCCAGCATGCTTTGCCAATGGACAGGGATGATGATATGTTTATACTCCACCTTTTTCTCTGATGGGACTCAAGTCAGCCTTGATGGGACTCACGATGGACGTTGTAGTCCACCAACATCCTTTCCAACTCTATGGAACTATAATTCTGTTGGGATGCAGCCAAGGAATCGGGGGCAATTGACAGGCCCCCACCTGGCCCCAGCCCACTGGCCAGTGTGCCGGGTGATCTCCAGTCCTTGGATCAGCATGAAACTGCAACCTGAGCTTCAGAAGCCTTCAGAAACTGGAGCACACAACACAGCAGAGATTATGCACAAACAGAAGTAGCAGGGCGAGGCTGTGTTGAGCATATTTACAAGCAGTTTATTCAGCAGACATCAGGACAAAAGGAAAACATGTCTTCTCCCCTTCATGTCCAAAGCAAGCAGCAAAAGCAAAAGCTATACACAAACAGAAGTTCCCAGAAAGCTGTGCTGGACTGTAAACAGGCATGTGACACACAACAATCATGCCTGTACTTAAGGTGGAATGGAATATCCTAACAAATTCATCAGATCCTGACTGTCTTGAACATAGTTTGTGAGTGCAGAGATGGGGCTGGCATGCATGGGGACACTGTGACATGCCCCAGTCTCCACACCACATTTGATTTGAATAGAGCGTTTCTGCTGTCTGAGCATGTGACAGGCATGTGGGTTCTGTTCCAAAATGGAGTGAATGGAGGTCAGAAAGAGCAAGTATAGATTTAACACTTGCATATGCATATCACCTGATTGTGCAAAGAAACCACAGAATATGTTCTCTCAGCAGGCTGGTAGGAGGTGGTAACTAAACCTATATTGCACCTTCCTAATGAGAGAGGATATTGGAAGTAAAGCTTTTGGAGCATCAGCAACAAATCTTTGATACATGAAAATCCCCGTCCCACAGCTGAAGCACAAAGATATTTTTAATCAGCCCACTAATAAAATTCAAACATTCACTCCTTTGATATTCAAATTTGTATATCCTTCCTTTGAGAGCCTTGATGGTGATGTTTAATCCGATTCAAATCAATGCATCTCTTTTCAGTTCAGTTATGTGTAATTTGCCTTAATTTGTTCAATTTGCTGTGTTTTGTTTAATCTTCCTTTGTGAAAATTGATGCAAAAAAGAAAAAAAAATCAAACTCAGTTACAAACTCATTCAGCCATTTGTTTAAAAACACATCAAGATTCCTCCAGAATACATACACACACACACACACACACACACACACACACACACACCTGGGATTGGTGGGGAGAGGAAATAAAGAACTGCAATTGGTTGAGAGGATGTCACAACGCTCACAAAAGGTGTTATATTGAGAGGAGGAGGTTGGTTGCAGAGAGAGCCGTCTCTAGGATGACTTGAACAACTATAGTGAGTGCTTGATGATGATGATGATTTACAGGGGCAGGGTGGTGATGGAATGTAAAGGAGGCAGTGGGGGAATCCCTGAATTTGTAAGTTCAGAAATGCAAATGCGGCCACTGGATTTGGCTCCGCCTCTGGCTCCTCCCAACATCAGGACGTCACACATGTGACATCACAATATCGCACATGATGTCAGGACATCACATGCGCGTCATTGGCCCCCTCAATCACCCTCATAAGCTGGCACTTCTGGATTCAGTTATGCTAACTGAGCACCATACGAATTAGCCCTGGGACAGTCAAATTCCAATTGTACTATGTCGTCATCATCATGGTTACTATTGCAAAGTTTTAAATTTAACAGTCCAAATGATGGGCAAACTGTTTTTCTTCAAAATTAGTTCTCCAGTTTCAAGAGTCACCCCTGTAAGCCACCGAAAACTCAGGACAAGCTGTTTTATGAGGCCCTGCAGTGCTAACATCTGGGCTCAGTAAATTTCCTCACCCCTACTGTGGAAAAACTCAGCGTATTTCTCCTTACTGTCCCCCAACTGCTTCCCAGTTCTCATCTGCTCCAGACAGAAACAATTTCCCTTCATTTTTTGGCCCCTGCAGGTGGATTTTGGTGAAAGACTGCCTCTATCTCCAATTGTTGCCAGCTGAGTTTATGGAGATGGATTACCAAGGGCTGAGGTGGCAAAGGATTTGTGTGGAGTTATGGTTTGGTTTTCTTTTTTTCCCCATTCTCTCCCATCCCCTTCATCCCCCTCTAGAATGTTTCCAAAGTTATGTTGCCTCAAGAGAGAGGAGGAAATATGACTTTGAAGAACGAACAATTCTGAAAGCATAGTGCCAGCGAGCCAGACCAATTCATTTGAACAACAGAAGCCTAACTGCATGTTAGAGAGCAGACTGCTTTGATGGCTGCTGAAAACAGCCTCCCTATATCATGTTCTGCCCTACACCCATCCCTCCATCCCTGTTAATATGTAGTTTCACTTATCCATGGGTAGGGACAGGGTAGACATCCCTCTGAATACCAATTGCTGGGTTCCACAAATGGGTACAATGCTATTAAAGTTAAAGGGACCCTTGACAGTTAGGTCCAGTCATGACCGACTCTGGGGTTGCGCCGCTCATCTCGCTTTATTGGCTGAGGGAGCCGGCGTACAGCTTCCGGGTCATGTGGCCAGCATGACTAAGCCGCTTCTGGTGAACCAGAGCAGCACACGGAAACGCCGTTTACCTTCCTGTTGGAGCGGTACCTATTTATCTACTTGCACTTTGATGTGCTTTTGAACTGCTAGGTTGGCAGGAGCTGGGACCGAGCAACAGGAGCTCACCCCATCGCGGGGATTCAAACCGCCGACCTTCTGATTGGCAAGTCCTAGGCTCTGTGGTTTAACCCACAGCACCACCCGCATCCCTTACAATGCTATTGGGCTCATATAATTGTAGACCCACTCGCTGGATCATCACCTTGTCGTGGTGATGCAGGAATCTCAACTAAAGCATCCATAGCAGATGGCCATCCAACCTCTGCTTAAAAACCTTCAAGGAAGAAGAGACCACAACCTTCTGAGGGAGTCAGTTCCACTGTCAAACAACTCTTTCTGCCAGAAAATTATTCCTGATATTTCCAGCCCAGGGATTAATGATCTACCTAAGTATAAGGCAACTCAAAGAGCTTTCTCACTGACTTCAAAGAAACTTCATTGGGTGTGTCAGTTTGCCCCACTGCTGGCCAAGGGACCAACTTTTAAGGTGTCACTGGAGGCGAGCTAAGTTTTAGTAGAAATTTAATCAAACCTCTCCCGTTAAATATTTATCCAATTACACGAGTGACAAGCGGAAAATGAATGAATCCCTTTTAAGGTAATACAGAATAGCACGCAGCAGATGGGGATTTTTATCATTAAAGATATAATGAGATCATGAGCACCACCAAAGGGGCAAGTTAATCAAATAAGGCCATTCTATGACAAGCAGCCTGTCGAGGCGGAGGGGACTGGATTACATTTCCTGCACTGCACAAGTTGCATTTGAGTTAATAAAGGCAAGCAGCCATTCTTCCCAAACTTGTTAGGAGGCATCACATTTGAATGGAAAAGACCACAAGTGACATGAATGAAAGCAGCATTTCCAGAATGTAAATGAACCTAATGCCCTTTTAAAACATGGAGGGGTTTTTCAGGGAGTGGGGGGTTATTGGGTTGTTGCTTTTATTTCAATTACCCAGTATATATTTTGTGGTTTTATATTTTGATATTGTTCTGTGAACCGCCCTGAGACCCCCGGGTATAGGGTGATATATAAATTCAATTAATTAATTAGGTAAAGGTAAAGTTAAAGGGACCCCTGATCGTTAGGTCCAGTCGCAGACGACTTTGGGGTTGTGGCGCTCATCTCGCTTTATTGGCCGAGGGAGCTGGCATACAGCTTCCGGGTCATGTGGCCAGCATGACTAAGCCACTTCTGGTGAACCAGAGCAGCGCACGGAAACACTGTTTACCTTCCCGCCGGAGCCGTACCTATTTATCTACTTGCACTGCATGCTTTCGAACTGCTAGGTTGGCAGGAGCTGGGACCAAACAACGGGAGCTCACCCCGTTGCAGGGATTCGAACTGCCGAACTTCTGACCGGCAAGCCCTAGGCTCTGCAGTTTAACCCAAAGCGCCACCCGCGTCCCTAATAATTAATTAATAATGCTCTCTAGAAGTTAGGGGTTGCAACTGCCATAATCCCTGACTGTTGGCTGCACAGTGGCTGCAGTTTTTGGGTTGGCTGGCTGAGATCCTCAGAAACTGCATACTCAATCCAGTACCTCACTCCAGTTCTCTCCCCCCCCACACACACCCAGTTCCTGTCAGGAACAAGCTGGCAGTAAATAAGTTGGATGTGCAAGTTGGAGATCTTCACAGACTTGGCAGAGGGTCAGGCCTTATGAGCACAGCAGCTCATCGCCTGGATCACCCGTGGTTCAGTCGCCAAGGCTGAAAGTCCCCACCTCCCCACAGCCGTCTAAGTTCCTTCCTCTCTAGGGTTTTCC